CTCCACATCTTTGCCAAGATTCACTATTGTCTTTTTTGTGTGTGTGTGGTATATATAATATGGAGCCCTGGTGGTGCAGTGGCTAATCGTTTGACTGCTAACCAAAAGGTAAGCAGTTTGAATCCACCAGCCGCTCCAGGAAACTCTGTGGGGCAGTTCTTCTCTGCCCTATAGGGTTGCTATGAGTCGGAATAAACTCAACAGCAATGGGAATATATAATATATGTTACCATTTTAACCCATTTGAAGTGGACAATTCAGTGATATTATTTAATTCATAATGTTGTACCACCATCACCACTATCTATTTACAAAACTTTTTCATTACCCCAAACAGAAACTCAGTACTCTTTAAGGAATAACTCCCCATTCTCCCTTCCCTACAGCCCCTGGTAACCACTAATCTACTTTGGGTTCTATGGATTTGCCTGTTCTAGTTACTACATCTAAGTGAGATCATACGATATTTCTCCTTTTGTGTCTGACTTATTTCACTTCGTTTAACATTTTCAAGGACCATTCATGTTGTAGCATGTATCCAAATTTCTCTTTATGGCTGACTAATATTCCATTACATGGATATACCACATTTTGTTTATCCATTCATCTGTTGAGGGACACTTGGGTTGTTCCTACCTTTTGACTATTGTAAATAATGCTGCAGTGAGCATTGACATACAAATATCTGTTTGAGTCTTTGCTTTCTGGTCTCTTGGGTATTTATGCAGGAGTGGAATTGCTGGGCCATGTGGTAATTCTGTGTAACTTTTTGAGGAATCACCAAACTGTTTTCCACAGAGGTTACACCGTTTTACATTCCAGCCAACAATATATGAACGTTCTGATTTCTCCACATCCTTGTCAACACTTGTTATTTTCTGTTTGTTTTTTATAATAGCCATGCTAGATATCTAGTCGTATCTCATTGTGGTTTTGATTTGCATTTCCCTAGTGAATAATGATGTTGAGCATATTTTTATGTGCTTATTGGCCATTTGTATATCTTCTTCGGAGAAATGTCTATTCAAATCCTTTGCTTATTTTTTGATTGAGGTGCTTTTCTCTTTCTTGTCGAATTGTAGGAATTATTACATATTAGGATATTAAACCCTTATCAGATATATGGTTTCCAAATATTTTCTCCCATTCTTGTCATTGTCTTTTCACTGTCTTGATACTGTTCTTTAATGCACAAAAGTGCTTTTTTTAATGTTAATGAAGTCCAGTGTACCTATTTTTTCTTTTATTCATACATTCAGTGTCATATCTAAGAATATATTACCCAGTACAAGGTCCTGAAGATGAAACCCTATTTTTCTAAGATTTTTATGGTTTTAGCTCTTATATTTAGGCTGTTGTCCAGTTTGGTTTAATTTTCATATATGGTGTGAGGTAAGGGTCCAACTTTTTTCTTCTGCCTGTGGATTGTCCCAGCATCAGTTGTTGAAGAAACTATTTTTTCCTCATTGAAGGACTTGATACACTTGTCAAAAAAATCAGTTGACCATAGATGTGTGGGTTCGTTTCTGGACTCTCAATTTTATTCCATTGGTCTCTAGGTCTATCCTTATTCCAGTACTACACTGTTTTAATAACTGTAGCATTGTAGTACATTTTGAAATCAGGAAGTATGAGTCCTCCTACTCTGTGCCTCCTTTTCAAGATTGTTTTAATTATTTGGGGCCCTTGCACTTCCCTATGAATTTGAGGATTGGCTTTTCAGTTTCTGCAAAAAAGGCTGTTGGAATTTTTATAGGTATTACATTTGCATCTATAGATCTCTTTTGTTAGTATTGATATCTTAGCAATATTAAGTGTTCCAATCCATGAACACTGGATGTCTTTGCATTTATTTAGGTCTCCAATGTTTTTCAGTTTTCAGTGTGCAAGTCTTTCACCTCCTTAGTTAAATTTATTCCTAGCAATTTTATTCTTTTTAAGTGCTACTGCAAGTGGAATTGTTTCTTAATCTTGCCTCATTTCTCTGGCTAGAACTTTTAGTTGAATAGCATGTCTAATAGCAGTGATGAAAGCGGGCATCACTGTCTTGTTCCTGATCTTAAGGGGAAAGGCTTCTACCTTTGAGTATGACGTTAGCTATATAGGTTTTTCATAAATGTCCTTTTTACTTTCTCCCTTCTGTTGCTACTTTGTGGATATTTTTAACACGAAAGGGAGTTGGATTTTGTTAAATGCATTTTTCTGCATCAATTGAGGTGATCATGTGGTGGTTTTCCTTCATTCTAATAATGTGGTGTATTGCATTGATTGATTTTCTTATGTTGAACCATTGTTACATTCCTCTGATAAATCCTACTTGCTCATGGTGTATAATCCTTTCAATATGTTGGATTCAGTTTACTAGTGTTTTCTTGAGGATATTTGCATCAGTATTCAGAAGGGATATTGATCTGTAATTTTCTTTTCTGTAGTGTCTTTGTCTGGCTTTGTTTTGAAGAGTTTGAGTAGGATTGGTGTTAATTCTTCTTTAAATGTTTGGTATAATTTACCAGTGAAGCCATCAGGCCCTGTAATTTTCTTCACCTGTTGTGAGGTTTTTGATTACTGATTCAGTATCTTCACTTGTTACAGGTCTGTTGAGATTTTTATTTCTTCTTGAGTCAATTTAAGTAATTTATGTGTTTCAAGGTATTTGCCAATTTCATCTGATTATTTAACTTGGCATACAGTTGTTAATAGTATTCTCTTATAATCCTTTATATTTCTGTAGAGTTGGTAGTAATGTTCCCATGTTCATTTCTGATGTTAGTTTTTTGCATCTTCTCTATTTTTATCCTTGTCAGTCTGGCTAAAGGTTTGTTAATTTTATTCAGTTTTTCAAAGAACCAACATTTTTTTTTTGTATTCTCTTTTTTGTTTTTCTGTTACCTATTTCATTTATCTCCACTCTAGTCTTTATTATTTCCTTCCTTCTGGTAGCTTTGGACTTAGTTTGGTCTTCTTTTTTCTAAAAGTTCCTCAAGGGATAAAGTTAGATTATTGATGTGAGATCTTTCTTATTTCTTAATGTAGGCATAAATAAATTTCCATCTGAGTACTACCTTCACTACATTCCATAAGTTTTGTTATGTTGTGGTTTTATTTTCATTTGTCTCTAAGTATTTTGTAATATCTCTTGTGATTTATCTTTTGATTCACTGGTTGTTTCATAGTGTTGTTAAAATTCCACACGTGAAATTTCCAGGTTTTCTTCTGTTGTTGAATTCTAATTTCTTGCCATTATGGAATGTAAATTTAAATAATTTAATTAATAATACTTAATAATGTAACAATTAGATTGATTGTTTAATTATTAATGATTACTAGCAATGATTTAATCAATCAAATTTACTGAGACTTGTTTTGTGACCTAATGTATCTTCGAGATCCTATGATCCATGTGCACTGGAGAAGAATGTGCATTATTCTGTATTTGGTGAAACGTCTGTATATGTCATCATTTTCTTTTTCAGCCTCACCAGAAGCATATTTAACATCCACATTTCTAACAACATTCTGTTGTAGACAACATGTTTATCCTCTAAGATGACAGAGACTTCCTCTATAGCTCTTTCACTTCCTTCTGAGCCCTCACCAGTATTGCTTTTGAAGTACATGATTCTACCAATGGTCTCTTCATGGCAAACTAGGCTTTTACTATTAGGCATCTTTAAACTCTCCCAGCCTCTACCCACTACCCCATTCCAAAAACATTTAATGCATTTTGGATATCTGTTGGAACAGCACCCCACTCTTCTGGTACCAAATTCTGTTTTAATTATCTAACTCATTGCTGTCGAGTCGGTTTCAACTCATAGTGACCCTAGTGCTGCTATAACAAAAATACCACAAGTGGATTGCTTTAACAAACAAATTTATTTTCTCACGGTTTAGGAGGCTAGAAGTCCAAATTCAGAGTGCTGGCTCTAGGGGAAGAGTTTCTCTCTCTGTCAGCTCTGGAGGAATCTCCTTGTCTTTCTTCAAGCTTCTGCTCCTGGGTGATCTTCACGTGGTTTGGCATCTCTCTTCCCCCATCTTTGCTTCTTTTGCTTGCTTGTTTAATCTCTTTTATATCTCAAAAGAGATTGACTTAAGACACACCCTACACTAATCCTGTACATTAACGTAACAAAGATAGCCCATTCCCAAATGGGATTATAACCACAGGTATAGAGGTTAGGATTTACAACACATATTTTTGGGAGACACAATTCATATCAGACACCCTTAACTAAAAACAGTTGACCACAGATGTGAGGGTTGGATTTTGTTCCATTGATCTGGCCTATCCATATGTCAGTATCATACTATCTTCATTACTGCAGGATAAAGTTTTGAGGCGGGAAGTATGAGTCCTCCTACTCTGTTCTTCTTTTCCAAAATTGTTTTGACTATCCTGGGTCCCTTGCATTTCCACATGAATTTTAGGATTGACTTGTCACTTTCTGCAAAAAAGCCAGCTGTGATTCTGGTAGCTATTGTGTTGAATTAGTAGAACTTTAGGTTAGCTTTGAGATTAGAGTTAGTGTGCCTGGAAGGTCATAGATATGAGGAAATAAGCCAACTAGAGAATTGACCATGGGAGAGGGGAGTAATTCAGGGCAGTGTTTCAGAGGCCCCTTCCTCTATCAGATGAAAGAAAAATTACTGGTTGGATAATAGAGACTGCTGGAAAATCATTCCACTGTTTGTACCTTTCATAGCAAGACACCTAGTAGCGCCCTGTCTTCACACAGTTACATACTTGACTACAAGTTAATTTTCACTGAAAGAAAATTTTGCCACTGCCTATTTCTTTAGGCTGTTTTGAGAGTGCCTGTTCATAGTTAATCGTCACCATGGTGGTAGAGGTACTCGATGCTTATTAAAGTCCTGCACCTGTAGTGCTCTGCCAAGATTGGCCTTGCAGCCAGGCTAGAGGCTGCTGGACCACACTATTGTTTTTATTTGATAATGGAAGCATTTCACAATTGTCACTTTTGTCGTTTTCTCTTCTTTAGGCAAGGCTTGAAGTCTGTGCCTTAAGGGATACTGTGATTATTTACCTGACGCCTGAAAGCAAGTAAGATGCTAAGTGTTTTTGTTCTGTTGTATAAAATGCTTTGTAAAGATAATTAATCAGAATAAATGTTTATGGTTTTCTGATGTAGTAAAGTTTATACCTGATTGATCGAATTTTTAACATATACTCATAATAAGCCTGAGGTCGCATCTTTGTAGCACAATATAAAGGGAAAGAAGTTTAATGTAATTTTGTCTTTCATTCACTACTGATAAATTTTAGTCTCATAAATGATGCAAGAAAGCATTATATACTTCCTAAAAAAAAAAAAAGGAGGAAAGCAGAGTTGTGTCTTAATCTGTCCATAGCAGAGTCTGAAGGACAGATCAAGTATTGTTTAAATATCAGCGTAAGAGGAAGCCTTGTGGTTTGTCTGCAAAATTTTGTAGTGGAAACTTAATGATAATTTTTAGTTGTTTTGAATGATAGTCAGGATTTCCTATAATAGAAATATCAGTAGGTGAACTGAAACAGCACTAACTACTTACTATACAAGATTGTTTATTCCATTGGCAATATTACCTAAGAAATAAATTACCAAACATAAAATACTTAAGGATACTTTGTGTGGTATACATGTTTATTCACTTCCAGCCTTTGATGACTTGGCTTATGCCATCATTCTGACTGTCATCCTTTCTAAGGAAAAGACTTTTATGTTTTTTCCTAACCAAATGAAGTTTAGCTTCTCTTTCTTGTTCACTGTGGCTTACCAGAGGCCATTTTCTGGATGTCTACCATGTTAGTTATTTAACCACATCTTTTCCCAACCATTACATTTTTCCACAATGTACAGAAGATAGAAAGCACCAGGTCCTTATTTGATGTATGTGCATACTTTGTGTAAGTACCTGTCTTTTTCTTCCCACTAAGTTAACCTTTCTGAAGGATATTGGGAGATTAAATGAGAAATGTGTAAGGTCACCTTCTAAATGTCAGTTCATTACAAATGAGTGGTGGCATCCTCTTCATCATCATCATTCTTATTGTTTTTGATGCAGAAATAAACAGCAATTGCATCACATTAGTTTTGTATAATTAAGAAAAAATATGCATGAAACAAGGTGGTAATGGAGATAATGGCATGTAACTTTCCTCCACATCAGGAAAGAGGAGAGCCGATTTAATATTGGGAAGGGAGATAAATATGACAGTAAGCTATAATCTGTCCCCACACCTCACAGTCTACCAGAACAACTGAAGACTTGTAGCATCAGTATTTATGACCCTGCCGGAACTTTGCAGTCTCTCTATATGTTGCTGTGACACCTGCCCCTAGTTTAGGAAACACTAGTCAAAAATATATTTCTTGGTAAACTGATGAGAATGTTTTTTCAATACAAAATCAAAAACCATTTTAAAGTCAAGAATAATTAAATTTAGTTCTCCACCCAGTCAACCAGTCTTAAAAGAAGAAGAGATAAGAACTGTTCCTTAGCGAATAATAAATAATATACTCTAACTGCTTTTCATTTGGATTGGTAAATTGGTCTGATACTTTCTACTTGCAAAAGTTAAACATACCAAATTGGTAATTTTTTAGTTTACTCTTTTTGCCTTTTTCATGTAAAGAAATCATGTTGAATCTCTCCATTTTCCTATAATTTTTCAGTATAATAATAGCTAAATCCTGTACAGACCATATTCAGTTATTATAAGATATCAACTGTAAATCAAGCCCTGCAGATAGCAGTACTACAATAAATATCCCTATTTGTGTAATCTTTCACAGGATTGTCCCTGTTTCCACTTCATCTCCTTCCTTTTTTACCAGTTGCCCTTTTGTCTATAGCCCAGTTATTTGTTGAAAAGAAAGACTTTTCCTTAATTAAACATCTCCACAGTAACCTCTCATCTATCATAAGTAGCATCCTTTCTCTGATCAGTTTCTCCTTATCTTTTCAAGTTATGTTTCATTTCCTAGTTTAGTTTTTCTGACTCTGTTACAAAGCTTCCATCTGGTAACTGCCCTTACTTTTACTTTTACTTTTTCTATTGTTTTTCACTTTTACTTTTTCTCGTATTTCCACTTGATTCACTGGCTCATGTTGGTTTTTATGTTTAAGATATGCTTAAGAATTTTTTAATGATTGTCTGAATTCCCTCAGAACTATGAAATGCTTTAACCTTGATGTTAATGTTTATGTCCAGGTCTAGTTTTAAACAAGCTTTGGAAGTCCTGCCTCAACTCTCAAGTGGAGCAGATAAAAAGTAAGTTCTGTATTTTCTTCTCAGGATCCAATTAGGTAACTTTTATCACTGAAAAGTACCTTTTTTAAATTTTTTTAATGATTTGGATTTAAGGATGAGAAGTACATAATATCCCTTAATATTGTGTGTTCTGTTAACTTCTCCTTGCCTGGGAGAGTGTCGGGTGACAGAATGAGGTAAAATCTTCCTTCTGAATGTATTACAAGTAGGTAATTAGCTCTTTTCTTGTTTTAAGTGAGTAATACAGAAAAAAGCTATAAGAAAGCTCATTTTGACTCACACAGTTAATTATATCATTTGCTTATGTTTTTAAGAAGAGAGAATCTAGATTAAATCTAAAAGAAGACATCCTAGAAAAATCCCAGATCTTTGTTTTTTTTTCCTCATGAAGTAACTAGCAGTGTAAAATAACATTTTGTGCTCTATAAAATATAAAGTATTAAAAAAGAATAGATTTATGTATATGGCATAGTAAAGTTGTATGTATTTCATTACCACTGCTTTAATGATCCAGCCTGAGTTTAAACTTGGCCACTCCCTGCTGCATGTAATGGAAATTCTGACCTGAGAGAGTCTAGACCATCAGATATCATGAGTGCCAGCTTACCCTCCCTGAAACACAGAAGCATTTGTAGACCTTTGCCCCATCAGCATCAGCAGCTAAGCCCACCCACCTTTCATCTGGTTGATCAGGCAACACACAAGTATTGTGGTGCCCTTGCTATCTGACAGCCACTGTGCAGGGTTCTGTGAAGGATTCAAGAGATAAAAGACATGGTCCCAGTCCTCAAGGAGCAAGGTCTAGTTGGAGAAATAATCAGTACGCTTCTGAAGAAGATAATTAACAATGTCAGGCAGTTCCAAGTTTGTGGTGAATTAGGGCCATAGTAAAGTTGACTGTTGTGGAAACTCAGAATGGAGAGTGATCACATTGGGCTGGGTTACAGTAATGGGTAGGAAATAGCATGTAGGAACGAGGCTTGGACAAAGCATTGAAAAGTGGGCAGCAGACAAGTTGTTTTGCTTGTATGTTCCTAGTGTAGTCCTTGTCTTTGTTCCTAATGAGCAAATGGGTAGACATACATACAAGGCTCATACCTGCAAGCGTTTCTTCCATTTTCTTGCTTTGTTCTTTTCTCACTAAATTTCACACTCTCTGAATTGGTTGCAAACCTTGTTCATTTCTTTAAAATAAATATGATAAAAGATTAAAATAATTACTATTATTTTACAGTGGTCTAATATTAAGCATTGTTAGACCGTGAATTAATCTCTTGAACCCAATTCCAATAAACAATATATAGGGCCTATCATTTTTTTGAGTTGCCGTATGTGGCACATAGTAGGTCCAAAAAAAATGACTCCTATGACAGCAACATGTGTGGACTTTTATGCTCAGGTGATGGCATGTTAACCTAGTGGAGGCCAGTTCTTGGTACTTCGTCTGCCCCATGCAGACTTGGTGAACCCTCCACTCTAACATATGGACATGTCGTACCAGTTGGGGAAACACTTGTATATCAAGTAGTAGAATGATTTGCCCAGCAGAGTTAGAACTAATCCTGATTCTTTGGGTGCCTAGCTTAGTTTACCACTCTCCAATATTTGTTAAAGACAAAAAATCTAAAATTAGAGGAATAGAGTATAGATCAGTGGTTGCTAGAGCCTTGGGGGTTGACTACAAAGGGCAGCATAAACAGATTTTGGGAGGTGAAGGAACTGTTCTGTATCTTGATTTTCATTACACAACTGTATGTGTTTGCCAACATTCGTAGAACCGTACACCAAAAACAGTGGATTTTAGTAAATGTACATTTTTGAAAAACAAAAATATAGGCTCAAATATTAGACTGTTTTAAGGAGGAACCTAATTAATCTGAGGTTAGGAGATGGAAGATTGATGTATTCTTTTTAATTAAATTCTTTGATTGACTTCTGTTACTGATTACCAACAAACCAAACCAGTTGCCATCGAGTCGATTCTGACTCATAGCAACCCTATAGGTCAGAATAGAAGTGTCCCATAGGGTTTCCAAGGAGAGACTGGTAGATTCGAAATACCAGCCTTTTAGTTAGCAGCTGAGCTCTTAATCGCTGCACCACCAGAGCTGTATGTTACTAAGTTAAGAATCAATAAATAATAACTTTTTCAGCTACCTTCTAAAAACAGCAAGGCAAAGTCAGGGCTGAGTAACTGGCTCCGCTAAATGTTTTCTTATGTAGTTAGGCGACCTTCATACTGCCAGGTTGTAAGGACTCTCCCCTTCCTTACAGGTTACTGGAAGAGCTTCTGAACAAGTTCAAGAGTAATATGCATCTGCAGCTCACCTGTTTCCAAGCTGCTTCAACCATGATGAAAACATAAATACTGTACCTGCAAAACAAGGGTAGTCCAGAAAGATAACAAAAATAAAACTATTAACTTTCTTAAGTGCCCTGAAGATATTTGTGTATAAAACACTGAGTTTGTAGTTTTTCTTTTTTTCCCCAAGTGGTGGCTTAGAAAAATGTTGATATGTTTTCTTTTAACCACAATGACTTTATTTGAAATGCTCAAGCAGTATGTGCTTTGTCATCTCTGGTTGGGTTGGGTTTTGTATGACTGTTTGAAATGCCTTTTAAACTCTGTATCTCTTAGCTCCGCATGGCATGGGGAATGCTGTAGGAAGAGTTGCTGCAGGGAATGTTTTGAGTTGGCCTGTGCTGCCTGTGTACGGCAGCATTGCTCCCCAGCTTCCAAGATACATGGAGAGATTGATAAGTAGAGCTATGGAAAGTTACATTTAGACATCTTTGGGGCTTTAACTGTCTTGAACTGTACAGCTGCACTTAAAACTTTAATACAAATGGCTCTAAGTTTCCTAACTCAAGTGAGTTTTTACAAAAATGTGTGATCTGCATTAAAAATGTTATATTTGGGGTAGATTATTTGTTGTCCATATGTCTATGAATTTCCATTCTTCTAATTTTTATCTTCACAGTGGTAAACATTGTGCACCTTCTCAGTGTGGCTTTTTTTGTTCTCACTTCACTCTTAATTTGCTTTATGCCACTAAATTCTTGTCAGTGTGTTTGCCTGTCCCTGAGGACCTTAATGTTACATTTAACTGCTTTATTGTGATGGCTTCAGTCTTCAGTGCTTACTAAAGAACAAATCAAGCCCTGGCACTGATGGCTCAGGTCCTGTCTGTACAGCCTCTTGCACGTCTTCTGTCTCCTTCCCTCCAACAGTTTGTTTTCTCTCCACCAGTTCTTGGCCTTTGGAGTATCTTGCTCAGTAGCCACAAGAATTCTGGCCTGCACTGCCTGCATTTCCTGAGATTTGAAGTGTCTCAGTTATCTAGTGCTGCTAAAAAAGAAATACCACAAGTGGATGGCTTTAACAAACAGAAATTTATTCTCTCACAGTTTAGGAGGCTAAAGTCTGCATATTCAGGGTGCCAGCTCTATGGTAAAGCTTTCTCTCTGTTGGTTCTGGGGGAGGGTCCTTGTCATCAGTCTTCCCCTGGTCTGGGAGCTTCTCAGCGCAGGGACCCTGGGTCCAAAGGACATGCTGTGCTCCTAGTACTTCTTTATTGGTGGCATGAGGTCCCTCTCTTCTCTCCTCGATTCTCTCTGTTATATCTCAAAAGAGATTAACTCAAGATACAGCCTAATCTTGTACGTTGAGTCCTGCTTCATTAACATATCTGCCTCTAATCCTGCCTGATTAACATCATAGAGGTAGGATTTACAACACATAAGAAAATCACATCAGATGACGGAATGGAGAATAACCACACAATACTGGGAATCATGGCCTCGCCAATTTGACACGTATTTTGGGAGGACACTGTTCAATCCATGACATTCTACCCTTTGGCCCCCAAAAATTCATGTCCTTGCCACATGTAAAACACGTTTACCCCATCATATCATAGCAAATGCCTTAAAATCAACTCCCAAGTCCAAATTCCATCTTCTGAAAAATTCCTCTTCATATGTAAAATCTAGAATACAAATTATCTACTTTCAGAGTACAGTGATGGAATAGGCACAAGGTAGACACATATTTTGTGGGGGACACTATTCAATCCATGACAGGAAGGAAGCACCTCATTACTGGACAGCACAAGCTACAGCCAAGCCCTGTGCCATGTTTCCTCCATCCACTGCCGATTCATGTCCTGAGCTGGCTTGGGTCACCATGACCTCACATGACTTTCCCCAACCTAACTCTGTCATACTATGAGCAATTCTCTACTTGTAGTCTATTTGTCAAGGTTTTCAAACTTTCTGTGGGTGTCGTAGAATCCCCCTTTTTAATGCTGAAGTTAATGTCTTTAACAATACAAGTAATTTTAGAGCGTGGTAAAGCCACATACAGTACCATTATTCAATATAAGTAAATGCTGTTGTGTTTGTTCATTTGGTGTATGGCGGGAAATCATAGTAACTAGAAATGAAAGTTTAATCTTTTATAAATGTGTTTGATACTAATAGCACTAGAGGGACTGTGTCTCCCCTAAAGCATGGTAACCACTGTAATCTAACATGACTATGAGCTAGACTGCAAAGCTGTAATCCTGAATGTTTTGTGTTATTTTCAATATCTAGTTCAGACATTCAGCCAATAAAGACTCTATCTTCAGTGTAAGATATAATTTGGTTGACTTTTTCTCCAAGCATCTTTATTTTCAATATGTTTTTATTAGCATTTTATATGTCAACTTTTAACATTCAAAGCAAATATTTAAATTTGCGTTTGCCCTGTGTTTGTCTGATCACTGGCAGAAAACATCCGTTTGGTGTTCTGCTAACCCCCTATTTGTTGGGGACTTACCATGTGCTAGGAGCCTTGGTGGCACAGTGGTTAAGCACTCTGCTGCTAACTAAAAGGTCTGTGGTTCAGACCCACCAGCCACTCCTCGGGAGAAAGATGTGGCAGTCTGCTTCATCTTTGGTTCATTTGCTTTATTTTACAGCCTTGGAAACCCTATGGGGCAGTTCTCCTCTATCCTATAGGGTCGCTATGAGTCAGAAGCAGCGTGTTTGGTTTTTTTCTTGGTTCCATGTGCTAGGTGTCATATCAGATTGTCTCGTTTACTCCTCACAACCTTTTTTTTTTTTTTTTAATTGTACTTCAGGTGAAGGCTTACAGAACAAA